TATATGTTATTTGTGAAATATATAAATATATAAAATATATCAAAAATGAATGTGGGTATTCAAATGAAAGCTGTTGATGAGTGTAACATCGGGATGAGCTTATAGCTTTAAAAACATCAATAGTTAAGGAATGACCTTGTATCTTGTGAACTATTGATATTTTTAAAGATATAAGCTCACCCTGACATTATACTCATTGAGAGCTTTTATTTGAGTACCTACATGCATTTTTGATATATTTTTCATATATACATATATATAATATATATGAAAAATTGATGTGGGTACTCAAATGAAAGGTCTCGATGATTGTAATGTCAGGGTGAGCTTATGTCTTTAAAAATGTCATTAGTTGACAAGATACAATCCCATTTCTTAAATATTGACATTTTTGAAGATATAAGATCGTCCCGATGTTACAATCATCAAGAGCTTTCATTTGAGTATCCACATGCATTTTTATATATTTTTCATATATATATATATCATATATAAAATATATGAAAAATTGATGTGGGTACTCAACTAAAAGGTCTTGATTAGTGTGACTTCAGGATGAGCTTATATCGTTAAAAATATTATCAGTGAACAAAATACAACGTCATTGCTTTATTATTCACATTTTTTAAGATATAAGCTTATCCTGATGTTACACTCATCAAAAGCTTTCATTTGAGTACTTACATGCATTTTTGATATATTTTTCATATATACATATATATAATATATATAAATATATGAAAAATTGATGTTGGTACTCAAATGAAAGGTCTCGATGAGTGTAATGTCAGAGTGAGCTTATATCATTAAAAATGTCAATAGTTCACAAGATACAAGGTAATTTCTTAATTATGTATCTAGAGATCATTTTCGAATGCAGCCTAAATACTTATCATAATAAATTGACTATCGAAGAGAATGATATGAAACCTTGAAAAGGCATAAATTAAAGTCACATGACTATCCTAGACACAAAATTTTTCTTATTATCTTAATAATATGGATAATAATAATAATAAAAATGACATTTTCTGAAAATTCTTCATAATTATTATTAATAATTTGTGATCAAAATTTTTTTAAAAACATAATTAAAAAAATTGTGGAATCATAATAATAATAATGAAATTTTCTGAAAATTTTTTCATAATTGCTATCAAAAATCTGAGTGTAAAATTTTTGCAAAAAACTTCATCTCAAAAAATTAGTAAATAACATTAATAAAATTACAAATTAATGTTTTAATGTAGACAATAAGCAGGATATAATTTATAATTAATAATAAAACAAAAAATTTCATATATAAATGAATTAATTCATTATAACTAATCAATATTAAATTACAGGGCGATGACAGTGATGAAGAAGCAGTAACAAGCCAACCAACTAGTGGTGCAGCCCAGGGTGCTGCCTCGAACACGGTGTTTGCAATGCCTCCTCCACCATCGGCAACAGCTAACGAAAGTACGAATTTAAACAGCGGGGGAGAACGCGTTATATACACCACCAGTATGTCCGATTATCGATAATAATGCACTGTCGCACCTTCAATTATTTCGTCTTTCAATCTCGCTTAAAATCAGAAATATTATTACCTAATTATTAAATCTGACTGTCACACTTTAAGCGTTTAGTGTGCGCTATTTTGCTTTCCTTAATTTAAACGGAAAGATTGTTTTTTTTTTTTTTTTTTTTTTTTTTTTTTTTTTAAGTAAATTATTTGTACGGATGCGATAATTCGTAAATTTTTTAATTTTTTTTTTGAAAGACAGTACCAAAGAAGGTGCGCTTTTTTTTGACAAGTCTTATCATTTGATAAGTTACGCTTAATTGTGGTATCATAATTATTATTATTTGCCTCAGGACTTTTTATTTTTTTTATTAAAGTTGTCGGACTAGTCATCAATTTTTTTTTTCTGTCTTAAAAAATAATTAATAAAAAAAAAAAGATACATTTTTTATCTTTAAATTTTTTGCTTTAAAAAAATTCTTAAAAAAAAATTAATTTCTAAAAATTTTTATAAAATTTATTTAATTAATTCAATCTTGTAAATTAACAAATTTTTACACATTTCATCCGACAATTTTAATAAATTATAATTATTGCTACTTTAAAAAATTATTTTTTCAATTATTATTGCCAATTTGCTTTTTACAATTTATTATATGATTATTCTTAAAACTATTATTAATTATTAATTATTATAATTTGGTATCGTTACATTAATAAGATATTTATAATTTTTTTTTTCTTTTTATACATCAGGCATTTTTTACGAGCACAAAAGCACAATATAGATGATTAGTTTGATTAAAATTGAATAGGGAATTTATTGTTTAATAATAATAATAATAAGTATTACTAGTAAATCATTAAAAATTAATAAATTATTTTTGTTTTAATTATTCTACAGCTACTCATCAAAGAACTCCCTTTACGACCTCAACTGTTGATTCCTTATAATCCTTCGATTATTATTTCGTAATTATTTTATTATTTATATCTTCATTCCTGTATGTCAATAAATTTTTTTAATTATAATTTATTGTATATTTTATTTATGTAGTTTTATTAGATAGCAGAATTTTATTTTAAATAATTTTGTAGATTTCATATAAATTAAATTATGTACTAGCAACCTTGCAGTCTCTATGCGATTACCGTGACTTGTGAACTATGAATAAATGAAGTTTTGGTTTATTAAATAATGAATTTTGTAAAATTAGACTGTACTTTCTTAATAATTGACGTTTTTAAAGATATAAGCTCATTGCGGTGTTACACCCATCAAGACCTTTCATTTGAGTACCCACATGCATTTTTGATATATTTTTCATACATACATATATGTAATATATATAAATATATAAAATATATGAAAAAATTGATGTGGGTACTCAATGAAAGGTCTTGATGA